CATGATATATTGCAGTTGTAGCTTTTATCTGTTAAAAAGGAGGACCTGGTTCATTGATGCCTTATGGGATATAGGAGAGTTACTTAAAGGTTGGTTTGGTGCTTTTGAGTTGGCTTAGATGAAGAGGATATATCAAAGGTATAGATTTATATTACACCCTCTTACTTCAAGCACTTTTATATGATATATATATATATATATATATATATTATATATATTTAAATAATAGTAATCAATGATGTTCTAACATGCATCTGCACTCTCTGTTTACATTGTAAAGGTGTTTGAGGATTTCCCAGTCTGTAAGGAGCCTCAGGGCCACAGAAAACTTTCTGCAATCAGCAATTACTGCAGAAAATTCAAATGAACCTTTGAATATTGACTGTAACAGTTTGTATCCTTTCTTTACACCTGACTGCTGATTGTGGTATTCTTATTTATTTGTATATGTTCAACCCAAACCTGAAGCTCATCTATATAAATGTGGGATATCCCTATATTAAAAGATACACCTAAAAGTAAAATTAGACCACTTGAGTTACAAAGAGCACTCTACACATACAACAGAACTGGTAGCTACTGGATATGACACTTGTGTATTTTTTTATATGGCTTGTCTATTTCACTGTTTTGTACTTAAAGTGGAACTTCACTCTTTTCGATCAGCATTGACTAATTGTAATCCTTATGCTGCTAGCATTAGTAAATGGAAAGGAAGGTATATTATATTTACTTGTTTTTAACTTTGTTTTTAACTTTTCTTCAGTTACTTCCTGGTTTCCATGCCTAGGCAAATGATCTCATAAATCCCAGGAGTCTTCAGGAGGGAAGGAGGAGTTTTATCAGCAAAAACACCCTCTTTCTTGAATGCCTGAGCTAAGGGCAAAGGGATTGCAGGAAGTAAATGTGGCATGAATCATCTGCCCATACTCAAGATGGCCATGACCAGAAATGCTAGGGAGTGTTCTTTAAAGTGATACAGATATGGATGGATGGATGGGTAAATTTGCTTTAAATATTGAAAATTAATGAAATAGTGTTTTTGTTTGTGTTAATATGATGCAGTGTAGTTCCTCTTTAATAATATACATATAAGCATGCTTGATAATTTCCATGTATATAAATAAATTGCTGATTTTGCCATATGTAAAGTCCTTTTACCCAATAAATGTCTGATGTTGTGTTTGCACTTTCACTCAAGTGTCTGAGCCTTACTACCAGGTTATATAGCTGTATATGTGGAGGCTTATAAAGCAATCATATCTCTATTCATATTACCTCGGGTAAAGGTGGCATTCATTTCAAGCTATGCAGTCTGATCTGATTTGTACAGATCCCAATCAAAGTTTTTCTAACAATTACAACAAATCTACAAAACATTGTTTTAAAGACAGTGATTCTTTTTCTCTAAGGAAAACTAAGATCAAATGCATACTTATATGGATTTGATGTTGTATGGATTTTGAAGTTATAAAGTCATATGTAAATAGTCTCAATCACATCCAACTGAATTCTATTACATTTTCAAGATTACTGTACTATCTTCTTCTTCTGTGTTACACCAAGAACTGAGAGACGAGAAGATAAACTTGTGATAAGAGTGAAACTACAATGTACATAGAACTGAATAATCAAAGGCCACTCAAAGTGTTGCTGTTGATGAACATCCCTGACATGCCAAATATGACCTAATATTCAGCATTTGAGAAAGTTATGCGGCAAGTAGAGAACAGTCTATGTGTCACATTAATGTAGCAGCCCTATAAAGTACCTGTACAGGTGAAAGATGAAGTGTGAATAATATTGAGGGGGATTGAAGTTGATATAAGATGCAAAGAGGTGCCAGAAGAGACTGGGTTTGTTGCCTCTGATTAATAAACAATATTAAGAGAGCACCAGTGGAAGACATCACACTTCACCTATGCCCTCTGGATATGTCTTCAACAATTTTTGAAGAGGATCTTTTACCACACTCTTCTTACATGGTTCTTCAGTTCTAAAAATTACAGAATTATTCTCCATGTACTGTAATTAGCTATAGCTGATAATTTAAAATCAATATTTCCTCCCCCACGTGCTTCTTCCCCTGATTTCTCAGTCAGGATCAATAGCACCACTATCAACCCATCCCTGCATGCCAGGGTGCTAGGTGTAACCCTGAATTCTGAACTATCGTTTCAGGCCCACATCCAATCCCTGTCCAAATCATGCCGCCTCAACCTCTGCAACATCTCCAGAATACGCCCCTTTTTAACCAATGATAACACAAAGCTCCTAAATCACTCCATGGTAATCTCTCGACTCGGCTACTGCAAATCCCTCCTCATTGGCTTACCTTTACATAGGCTATCCCCCCTCCAGTCCATCAGGAATACTGCTGCCAGGCTCATCCACCTTAGCAACCATTCAGTGTCTGCTACCCCTCTCTGCCAATCCCTCCACTGGCTTCTACTCGCCCAATGAATAAAATTCAAAATACTAATAACAACTTACAAAGCCATCCACAACTCTGCCCACAGCTACATCCCCAACCTGGTCTCAAAATATCAACCAAACCGCTTTCTTCGATCCTTCCAAGACCTTCTGCTCTCTAGTTCCCGTGTCAAATCCTCCCATGCTCGCCTCCAGGACTTCTCCCGAGCTTCTCCCATCCTATGGAATTCTCTGCCCCAATCTATCCGGCTGTCTCCTAATCTATCCACCTTTAGACGATCCCTGAAAACCTTTCTCTTTACAGAAGTCTATCCTGCTTCTACCTAGTAAACCACAATTTCTTTCCTCCATCAGCTCATCCCCCCTACAGCTATTACCTTTTGTATCACTCAACCCTTCCTCCTAGATTATAAGCTCTAACGAGCAGGGCCCTCTGTTTCCTCTTGTACTAAATTGTATTGTAACTGTAATGTCTACCCTAATTTTGTAAAGCGCTGTGCAAACTGTTGGCACTATATAAATCCTGTATAATAATAACATAATAATAATTTAAAATGGAAGAAATTAACCAAAGACATGTGAAATTGTAGAAATCCAAGCAGTGAAGCTGAAGTGGTTCATTGAAAGAACACAAACAGGCCAGGCTCCCTCCAGTTACATTAATTTTCTGTTAACAAAGCAGATTATTGCTTTGTAGTAATGTTTATCATTTGGTTTTGTTTTTTGTCAGGTTTTGTTTGGCATGGGAAGCATTTTAATTGCAGCCTCAGGCAACAGAATGGCCGGGTAGACCCCCAAGTGCATTATGTGAATGAATCATTTTTCTATTTTAATAAATTATATATTATACCTAATGTACAGTAAAGCTCAATTAGTTATTTTTTTCCAACTTTCTTTTCTATGAATTCTCAAGAAGTTTTAATAGAACTCATAATGCAATTTTTTAGATCATATTAGAAGTTGCTTTCTATTTTTGCTATCACATAACAGACCATAAAGATTATGCATAATATACTAAAACAGGTATAGTTTTTATAATTATATATTATACCTAATGTACAGTAAAGCTCATTTAGTTATTTTTTTCCAACTTTCTTTTCTATGAATTCTCAAGAAGTTTTAATAGAACTCATAATACAATTCTTTAGATCATATTAGAAGTTGCTTTCTGTTTCTGCTATCACATAATAGAGCATAAATATTAAGCATAATATACTAAAATAGGTATAGTTTTTATTTTTATTTTTCTACAGCAGAGCTGTTTTCAAAGTGCTGCTGCAAAACCCTGCTCACGCATTTTTTTGCACTCCTGCAGTGACATACCAACTGATGAAATTTATCAGGCACAGGCATTATGTTCAGGTGGGCTTAAAGCAGATTGATTTATCATGGGTCCTTCAGGGAGAAGGGGTAAGGCGTGCTTTCATCAATATATATATGTCTTCAGAAAAACCTACAGGGCTCTTATTTCATTCAAAGTCTAGCCTTAGCAGTGTGAATTTATGCTTGCGGTAACTCCAGGTTTGGGTGACAATGGTAGTTTTATATTTTTTTAAATGGCTTTGAAAATTGAAGAGAGCTCTATTCCTCTGACAGTATACATACATTTCAGGAGATTGTGCTGTGTATGTATAGGTGTTTAGATTTTTTTTTTTTACCTTCTTAAAAAATTCTGAAGATTTAGAATGTACCTGTATGAGCTTGTGTTCACTATGTTCAGTATTTCCTTTTCTTTATCCCATGGTATGTTGAGATTTCATTCAATTTAGGTATAAAGAGCTGAATTGCCATGAATAGCATCACTTCTGTCCTGTAATAATGTCTAAGGGCACTTAAAGATGGTCTTTAAAGAGTTTCAGGCTGTGTGCAGGATGTTTTGCTGAAAACGATGCTAAGCTGCTGAACAGAACATTCTCCTGTTTAGACTATTTGCCTTGCATACAAAGGGGTCATATTTAGCAGGGTTCCTATAAGCAGTGGATTTGGGGGCCTTTCTGACTTAGTGTAACCTGAAACAACTAGGCTTAGATTGCATAAGAAAATTCAGGATGACTGCACTCCCATTAAATATGAAACAATAAAATGAATGAAATGCAGCAGAGGAGGTGAGATGATGCTAATGTACTTCATACTATTAAGGGCCTACTCAGAGGGTATCCAGTACACCTCCTACATACTATTTACTAGTGCATAATCACAGGAGTGTTTAACCACTTCAGATCTCCCTTCCAGTCCAGGCCAATTTTTCAGATTTCATCCCTATCTGCTCAGTCATGCAACACTGTACTCATGGGAGATTTTTAGCATTTTTTTTTGACACAGATAGAGCTTTATTTTGGTTGTATTTGATCACTACTGAGTTTTTGATTTTTTAGTATATAAATTAAAAAATACAGAAAATTTTGTCGAAACCCTAAAATGCCAGACGCTAGTATAACTTAAGGCAGTGCTCAGGACGCTGCTATGGGTTATGTTGGTGATTGGGACATTAGCATGAGGTATGGTGTTGATCAGGATGCTGGTATGGCAGTGATCAGAATGCTAGTATGGGTGATCAGGAAACTGGTATGGGGTATGGTGGTGATCAGAACACTGGTATGGGGTATGGCAGTGATCAGAACACTGGCATGGAGTATGGTGGTGATCAGAACACTGGTATGGGGTATGGCAGTGATCAGGATGCTGGTATGGGGTATGGTGGTGATCAGAACTCTGGTATGGGATATGGAGGTGATCATAACACTGGTATGGAGTATGGTGATGATCAGAACTGTGGTATGGGGTATGGAGGTAATCATAACACTGGTATGGAGTATGATAGGGATCAGGACACTGATATGGGGTATGGCGGGGATCAAAATACTTTTATGGTGTGTGGGGTGATAAGGATGCTGGTGTGGGGTATGGTGGTGATAGTGGCACTGGTATAGTGTTTGGCGGTGACCAGGATGCTGGTATAGGGTATGGCAGTGATCAGGACATTGGTATGCAGTGATCAAGACATTGGTATGGTGTATGACCATGGTTTTATGAGCACTGGGACAAATGACAGGGGCTTGCTGCATGTTTATTATTGCCTACAATGGGCAGTGGGACACTGGAGCAGTAATTAGGAACACTGGGGTGGCTGGCAAAGCAGTCTGTGAGTGTACATGCAGTCTGACAGGCTGCTGTACACTCACAGGCTGATGCATCGGTTATCCCTGATCTCACAGTGAGAGCAGAGAGAACTGATCTGTACTTTCACTTTCAGTGTTTACTATGTGATTACTGTAATTGGTCACAGAAATCACATGGTAAAAACACCATATGATCCCCTGCACACAGTGGTAATGTGATCTGCTATGTCTGGGAAACATACTGATCGCCAGGCTCTCTGGTGCATGGTCTGTGAGCCTCGCAGGAACCGTGGGCTGATATACAGGTACGTTATCCTTCATCAGCAAAGCTTCCCATCCGCCATCTATAGGCAATGGGTGGAGGGGAAGCAGTTAATCAATGCAGTTGTAGGTTATTAGTGGATACTTGGTATCAAAGAAAACAACTCTATAGAAAAACATAACGTTAAGGCAATAGTTTATCCAAGGACAGGAAATACATAACTTGATTGGACAGAAAGAGAAGAAAGAGAAGCTTCAGTAATAATGGATTACTATACTATGGTTACTAAGAAGGGAGTTTTCATTCCCATTCAAAACTGAGACCCTTATCCAAAACACCTCCCTCTTGCAAAACAACCGAAAGACATTACCACCCTTTTAAACTTTTTGATACCCTAAATGATGACTACCGAACATTGTACTACTTTGGGGAAGTGATCAGTATTTTTTTTTTACACAATTTGATTGCTAATAGCAAAGAATTTCTTTGCTATAAGCAAGCATTTAACTGAATGAAATCGATTCATTCAGGTTTTATTTGTTGTGATTAGCTGTGATTGGTTACAGCTAATCACATGACACAGATGGCCTGTGATTGGCCCAGCCTGTGCATGTGATCGCTGTGACCGTTCACAGCTAGATACAGTTGTATACAATGGATGACATGAAAGCCAGCCATCCATTGTATACAACTGTCATGTGACCTGCTGTGATTGGTCACAGCAGGTCATATGGTACTGGCAATGGGCCCGGTACACAGATCTGTCATCGGCCCTGTCCGAGGTACACGGCCGGTGACAGATCTCGCCACAGCGCGTCCCTATGGGAATGCGCAAAGCACAATCTGGAAAGGACATCATATGACGCCCTTCCGAAGGGACGAAGTGTTCGCCCGGCATTCATTTGACCATAGGATGGGCGGCAAGTGGTTAAAAAAGGTTGCAAAAAAAACCCCACAGGATTCGGTTTGTTAGCACTCACTAATTACTCTCCTTGAGATAATATAGGAAGTGAACACGGAGAACAGGGCAGCTCTAAATTTCTGACATGATCAACAGGTTTTTTTTAAATGGTATGTTTAACAGCCCAAAAATAGAAAATAGGACAAGTTATTATTACCATTTTAAGAAACACTTTAGGAAGACCAGTGAGTGTATAATATCTGTGAAGGTTAGCTTCATGTCCAACTCCAATGTTTGCTTTAGATAAAGCAAGGAAAGGCGAGACTCTGCGTCAGATTTTAAATGCTGTCTGCACCTCTGCTGAGGGGATCCCCTTCCATTTACTGTTTGTCTCTCATTACACAGACAGCAAGTGAGTGTAAGTCACCCCAACTTGCATTCAAACAGCAATAATTGTGCAAAATGTTATAAGGGGGGTAAGGGGGTCCCCTCACTTTTTGTTCTCTCTGACACCTGCCAAATAGACAGGGATTAGAGATTGTCCTTTTATTTCTATCTAACAAAAGGAACATTTTATCTGAAGTTGGATTTAAAATGAAGTATGTACAAGAAAAGCTTGGAGGAAAGTGGACAATGTGGTTCATATATTCTAGTAATGCATCTAGATAAATCAGCTAAGGGCTTAACTGAAATGGAAGTGTTCACTATTTTGTGATAATGCATGGAATATGTAGTTTTGAAAAAAAAGTGAGCGTAATATTTTGTCTGTGGGATGAAGATTTATTTTTAGAAAAACTGTGTTAAGTGTAAATGAGTTTGTAACAATGATCTATAGAAATCTCTTTGGTTGTGGAAAGGTGAATGGAATATGGAAATTTTACAAAAAGTGGAGTAGATGCATGCAAGCATCTCTTAATGTAAAATTCTCTACTTTTGTATTCAAGATGTTTAATGTCACACTTTGTTTTATGTGAATTTTATATGTATAAGATTTTCTTCATTTTTTTAAATGTAGGATTTTCTTTGGTGGAGGAAAAGTGCATTAGGTTTATTTTATGTAAGGGAAAAATATGACTCTTCTCATCATCTGTTTTCTACTCCTCACAGGTAACTGCTGCTGCTTTTAAACATTCATCTTAACTATTTCTCTGCTGTGAATACTGTGTATGAAAACTGACATCATACTAGCAAATGCTATATGGTAACTGCTTCTGCTTTTAAACATCTATCTTAACCATCACTGCTGTGAATGAATGAAAACTGACATTTTGCTAGCAAACACTCTACTGTAATTGCGGCTACTTTTAAACGTCCTTCTTAACCATTTCTCTGCTGTGCATGAATGAAAACTGACATCTTGATAGCTAATGCGTTATAGTAACCGCTGCTGTTTTAACCCCTTTGCTGCCACAGACATAAGGCTTATGTTGACAGCAGCGGTTACAGACACATTTCATTTCAATTTCCTCAGCCAACTGTCAGCTTTTTTGTAGAGGTGATCTGGGTGGCTTTAAAGCCACCTAACCAGTTCCATGAGTGCAATAAAGTGCCACCCCAAAAATCTTCCATTCTCCTGACCCCTTGACATGTATTCTGATCTGTGCTTCTCCTCTTGGGTGCCCATGGGGACACATGGTTGGTTTCAGCAAGGAGAGATGAGGATAATCTGTGAACAACAAAAGCTGATCATCCCTACAGCGACAGAAGCTGGATGTGATGAGCATTTTGTTATTTCTTATTTCATATCTGACATTCCACAGTTGCTGTGGTCAGGCAAGAAGCTGATAAAGCACAATCTGTGCTTGAATATCTTCACTGAAGTTCAGGGGAGACATCGGGGTCTAATAGACACCTGATATCTCATTAAAGAGAACCAATCACTTCCACTAGGCTATTACGTGGAGGATTTGTTAGCCTTCCCCACCCCATATGACAATAAACTTAAGTAAAAAAATAAGAAAAAATTTAGATAAAATAAATAAACAATCATAACACCTGCCTCCACGTATACAGTATACACACATGAAAACATAGAATGTGCATTGGTTTTGGATAACTGACAGGGGGATGAGCAGGGTAATTCTTCACACTAGCAGCGGTTGCTCTTAACTCATACAGCATCAGACAATAGCCACTCAAAGCAATATTCAGCAGTTATGAAGGCAGAATGAAGGGAGGAAATTTGCTATTTTAATACACGCCATTATATGTAACTTATGTGGTACATGAAAAAATGACCAATTTTCATATTAAATAAATTTGGCACCAAGGGAAACTATGTTGAATGTAAAAGTAAGGGATGAGCTGTAGGTATACTTGTTCAGTATTAACAGAGAAAGGCATATTTTATGGCAAACAAGGTTTCTAAGACATAGGAATAGGGTTGGGAAACTGATTCCTAGGCTTTAAAAAAAAAAAGTGCAAAAATAATAAAAGATAAAGAAAGTGTGCTATGTCTATCCCAGGATAACATAGTGAAAGTAGTATTAAAAGAACTGTATAGATCTTGTGAAAATGGTAACTGTAATTGACAAGTTCTCGGGGATACCAGTACATCCTGATGATACTTGATCATGCAACCAAATATCCAGAGGCGGTCCAAATGAGGAAAGGTTACTACAAAGCAATTGCTCAAGAGTTCTTTTGTGTGTCTCTTAAGGACTGGGTTCCTTAAAGAGATTTTGATGGACCCGGGCAAACCATTCATGTCACAGGTAATGGTAGACCTATGCAATATGTTCTATATTAAACAATATCATACCTCTGTCTATCACCCATAGATTGATGGGCTTGTCGAAAGGTTCAATAAGACCCTATAATCTATGCTCAAGAAGGTGGTACAAAAATATGAAAAAGACTAGAGTTCATGATTGCTTTTAGAGAGGTACCTCAAGCCCAGAAAGCTAAGACAAAGAACTCCAACACAAGGAAGACTCTTTGCTACAAAAAGCGAAGCTGTGCATCCACTTCATTAGTTTCTTGACTTACAGTGGGGATCGGGTTTTCCCCAGCTGATTAGTTGGTAGATTTTATTTCCATCATTTACACTTTCAAATAACAGAAAACAAAAAAACATGCACTGCCCCCTTTGAACAAGGTAGAGATTTCATTAGTTTCTTGACTTATGGTTGCCTCGCAGGGGAAAGTTGTGGGATTTATCACCGCATAAAACAGAAGTGTAGAGCATATCAACCAAATGAGACAGAGACAAGTGATTCCTCCAGTAAAGGAGCATTTGCAGAAGGCACAAGAAGCACAGAGAAGAATATACAACTGGTCTGCCAAGCTTAGACAAATCTAGGTTGGGGACTGGGTGGCTGGTTCTGCTTATATCCACTGGCTGAGGTTAGTTCTAACCCTCTTGTAGGGGCAAGGGCTTAGTCCCATTTGCCACCACCCTGTTCAAGCCACAGCTCATCAGGTAAAATATTTTTCACAGAAGAATAGGGAGTTTATTTTCAGGGTTACCAGACCTTACCAGGGTAATTGGGCATGATATTGTTACAGAACCTAATGTAAAGGTAAAACATGAGTATGCCTTCCTTTAAGAGCACATGCACTGGTGATGTTGCCGGCTACAGAAACAGTGAATATCTCCTAAACAGTGAACAGGAGATATTCCTTGTACCTACAAGTGTCCAAGAGGTGTTACTACTGCTTTAAAATAGCTTTATATCAGTATCCAGTGCTGGTTGCTCCAGACTTCTCTAAAGAGTTTCCAAGAGGGCAATGGGGGAGGAACACCCCATAGTCTTTTTCAGTCAGCAACCACTGGGAGAAATTACTTCACAGCAGAGTGCCTGACCATTAAGTTGGCTCTACACTCCCTAGATTATTTTCTCTTTGGCAAAAAGTTTTTTCTGGTATCAGACTATGCCATATTAACCTGGATGCAACAGAAGAAACACACAACTGCCAGGATAACCAGGTGTTTCTTGGCATTATAAGAGTTCAAATTCATGGTAGAACACAGATCGGGAAAGCAATACCAAAATGCAGCAAAATGCAGATGCCCCCTCTAAAGTATAGTAAAGGGTGGCCCACAATGCTTCTGACACCTCCATGTTGAGGTGGTGGGGGTGTATAGGACGTCAGGGATGGGATATACATGCCCCACCTATTTGGCTTGTAATCCCTTTAAGGGGGATAATTAGATACATTTTGAGCATTCAGGGATTCTCACTCATGCAGGGTGAGGGGTTCTGGGGAAGTTCGGTTGGAGTGGAGAGAGCTGATTTTCAGTTCTCTCAAGATTGGTAAGTATTTATTTGGGACCTGGAATCTAGGGACTCAGAGAGACTTTGGGTGGGAAAGAGCCTCCAACCATTATTAAAGGGACTTTGGTCATAAAAGGGTTAACCCATCTTCAAGGTAGGCATAAAAAAGAGCAGGATGGAGTCAGCACAAGTCTGTTAAGTGTAATGGAGTAGTTCACAGCTGTGAGATAGTGTGGACTGTCTGATGACAGACTTTGTTGAGCCTTTGGAGCTTTTCCTGAAAAAGATAGTAACCTTAACCTAGGTTGTGGGACTGACATTTTGGTGGTAAGTCATAATATTTCAACATAGCAGAACCTTTGCTTTGTTTGTATTCTATTTTGCTGAAGAAGGCTGTTTTATTTTCCTACATTTTTGAAGGAACAAAAAAAAATGTTTTACTTTGACAAACAGCTGGTTGGTGATCCTGAGTTCCCCAGATGATGTACTAGTACTTGGATAGGTACCTTGAAAGAGGCAAGAGGTACCCAATGGCTTTATTTGAAAGTTTACCCGCTCATATGATTGTAAAAATTTAGCATTTCTTGGTTTGACAATTAAAATCAGGGAAGATGGAGAGTTGATTGCCTATTTATTTAGCAAACCTACTGCAAGATGCATTCCATCCAAGAAGCATTCACCCAGAGACACTGGTAAAACGTTTACCTATTGAACAGTACCTGCAAGTTTGAGGAAATCATTTTCAATACTTTTCAGATTTTCATACAATAAAGGATGATGGGTGAGCCAAGTCTGTCAGCAAGCCAAAGGTAATAGAAGGAGGGCCTACTTTATGCACAAGACCACAAAGAACCAAAAGAGACCACTAGACTGAGCTTAAGATACACTAATTTACCTTACAAAGTTCAAGACATTTGTGTTTGGAATTGATTTGGCAAATCATTTGGCAACATGTTGGCCCAAAATGATTTCATTTTGGCCTAAAATGTTTTATACAATTAGGACACTACTCTAGATGACTGGGAGTGAAAGTACCTAGTTCTTTATGCCAGTTTGTTGTTATGTTTTGAAGGATGGAAACCACCCTGAGTTCTATATCTTTCATGGGGGTACCCCCACTCCCTCCCCACCTCACCTGGGAGCAATGGAGTGTTGGGAGCAATGGAGTGTTGGGAGCTGGAAGGAAAACTTTTCAATTAAACTCAGGTTTACAACCATATGGCCTTATATAGCTAGCAACTTTGTTAATCACCAGTCAAACTATTTAAACCTGTTAACCACTTGCCTACTGGGCACTTTTACCCCTTCCTGCCCAAGCCGATTTTCAGCTTTCAGAGCTGTCACACGTTGGATGACAATTGCGTGGTCAACACTGTACCCATATGAAATGTGTATAATTTGTTTCACACAAATAGAGCTTTCTTTTGGTGGTATTTCATCACCACTTGCTAAACAAAAAAAAAAAGACCCAAAAAAAAAAGTTTTTCTTAGTTTATATTATAACAATTCGCAAACAGGTAATTGTTCTACTGCATGGATGTGTGCTGATGAGGTTACACTGATGGACACTGATAGGCAGCACTGATGGGCTCTGATAAGCTGCACTGATGAGGCAGCACTGATGGTGTCAGGAAAGGCCTGCCCATTGTGCAGACGAAGATCCACAGTGCACAAATATGCACACAAATATACGCATGCGCAGAGTTCTTATGAGCCTGGCAGATGTGCGGGTGCTTGGGCATAGGTGAGCACATATGCGTGCGAATGCACACACGCATACAGGTGCTCACATGTCACTAATACGGGTGCCAAAAGGGCTATTTAAACTGGCTGCAGCAGATGTATCTTGCCGTTTGGTCTTACCCCTGCTTGTGTTCCCTGATTCCTGTGATTGTCTCCTGATACTGAACCAGCTTGTTCCTGACCTCCGCTTGGACGCTACCTGCCCTGACCTCGGGCTTGCCTTGGATTACCCTTCTGTCTCTGCTCCTGTCTTATTGACCTTCCTCTGCTGACCTGGCCTGTGACCCTACTACTCTTCCTCCCGCTGCTTAAGCTTGATCTGCCCGACCAATACCGAACCTGGCTCGTCTGACCCTGCATCCTCAAAACGCACCTCTCAGTGATCCATCTATCCAGCATGGCTGCATCGAGATCCTGCTTTCTGCCTCCAGCCCGCCCTGCAACCCATCTACTAACCAGCTACTACTGAACTGACCACAGGCACTCATACCCCAATGTGTCCCTTCGGCTGCTGTGTCACCATCAGCAGTCCTAGAGCTAAAGTTGTACGGGAGGCCTGCCTCTTCACGTCAGGCTCACTATCCAGGTATGTGACAGATGGGTACTGATAGGTGGCAATAATAGGAACTGATAGGCAGCACTGATGGGCACTAATAGGCAGCACTGAAGGGCGCTAATAGGTAGCATTGAAGGACACTGATAGGCAGTACTGTCTGGCAGAATTAGTGGGCACTGATTGGCAGCACTGATTGGCAGCACTGATGGGAAATGACTGGTGGCACTGATGGGCACAGATTAGCAGCACTGATATGCACTTACTGGCAACACTGATGGGCACTGACTGGCAATTATAGGCAGCACTGATGGGCACTGTTGGCACTGCACTGATAATCAGTGCCCTGATTATCAGGGAAGATGTCTCCTTTCACACTTGTCAGCTGTAATTTCCTAACGCTGTGACAGGGTGAGGAAAGTGCTGCAGATAACTGGCAAGTGTGTTTACATCATGATCAGCTGTGATTGGACACAGCTGATCTTGTGGTAAACAGCCGCTGTTATTGGCCCTTTACCATAACATGTGATCAGCTGTGTCCGAAGGGTGCATGCCGCAGTGGGCGCAGGAGGGGGCGCAGTTCTTTGAGGACATCATATAACGCCCTCTCAGAACTGGACAACAGCGCTGAAGCCGTCATACGGCTATAGCGCAGTCAGCAAGTGGTTAATATGCAACATTGAATAGTCTCTGTAAGAGCTTGTCTTTGTATTGTACACATACTTTAAAATATCAATATTGGAAAAGCAAATGTTTTATAGCTTCATGTTGGAAATCTTGCAAATTCTTTTATCAGGTGTAGATGGAAATGTTTATACCTGCTTGGATTTATGAGAGTAGGCTCACAGGATATACAATATATAAATAAATAAACAAACAAACACATAAATAATATTTAGAACATCTATATACTGTTTGTTCAATAAGTTATATTTTTGCCTTATTAAATGTTATACTTTGTAAACCTTTTACAGTGGACTACACTTTCTTCTAAATGTAATAATATGATTTTGTCTTAGTAGATTTTGGTGCCTTTATTTTTGGCCAAGTGATGTCATAGTTGTCAGAGGTAATGAATAAACTAATGTATATTGTGCTGTCATTCTTGACACTGTGTGGGCTGCTTGTAGCTTTCCTGAGAATAATAGATAATCTATACACATATGGCCTTGTCAGTGAATTATCATGCCACTGAGATGGAAAAAGCAGCTATTGACCATTAACTTATGTATGGCTGAATTGACCAGCTTATTATAATAGTGCATTGGTGTTACATACACTATCATAGATCTGCAGGTAATTATTGTTCCTAATTATTTATACCAATAAACCATAATGACAAGGTTATTCATAGCTACACGGTGGATTCAATTATTGACTGTAAATTTTCCAGAGAAGATAAAAAAGAATTGCAATAGGAATAAAAATAATAAAATTAATAATATAAAACCCATTTAAAAACAGTATTTATTATAACAAGACATTCCATTAAACTATTATGTTCTTTGTATAGAGCAGCTGTACCATGAATATTGCTGCCAATTTATATTTATATGAACGCATTGTCTATTTATTTAGTCTGCAACAATACAATTGTGTAAAGAGTAGTTTAATTGGTTTATCAATAAAATGTTGTTTTACTATATTTCGCCTGTTTTAGCATATATATATATATATATATATACACACACACACACACTCATACTATGCGATATGTAAAGCACCCAAAATGTAATAATGTTAATGTATAGTAGATTTGTCTATAATTTCCTTGTTTGTTATAGCCAGAACTAAAAAAATAATAGGGGAATTCATAAAAAGGACACTTTAAAATTCCATTGTGTCTCCACTTGACAAATATTGGTGCAGGTGACAGATTCAAGTACCTGTGGTAAACAAGTACAGTTTATAAATCTATGGCATGAACCCCATGTGGAGGCAAACTGAGGCCAAAGTGTCCAAAGTGAAACTGAGTGGGTGGAACCATATGGGGATTCACAAACACTAGTTCCCCATTAGGTCTACTTCCCTTGTAATTGACAGCAGGCAATAGCCAAACTCTTAGCAAATATACAGCCTGCTATTGGCTTTAAAATCTGCCTACTGCCTGCTGTCAAGAAAGAAAGAGCAGATCAAATATTGATTTAAGTATATAATCTTTATATTGAAACATGTATGAAGTATCAAAATAAATTTGGCCCAATACCATTCCTGTCTCTCTTTAAAGATTATATATAAGCTTATATAAGTGAACATATCAGGTATTTACAAAGCTTAAAAAAAACTCTTATCATATTGAAATGATTAATAAAGTGCTAATTTTGTCCTTAATCATTTAATCTGGATATTTTCAATGTAAACTAGGACATTGCAGAATGCGGTTTGGCCTTTTCTGGCTAACAAGTGTGCAGCGGTCATGATAAACTCATTTGCAATGTCAAGTTATTTTGAGCATGTTTACAAGACTAAATCAACTGAGGTTTTCTGGGAAAATCGCTATTGCTATGAGTTTCAAGACAGAAATGCATAAAGTCTTACAAGTACTGTATATACTGAAATATGCTGTGATGAAGTTTTAATTCTTAGAAAATATAACCTTGTAAACCAAGCTCTAATTAGAGCTATACAATGACATAAGAGCTCTAGTCACCCAAATCAAGTCCAGACAAGATATTTAATTTTCTGTATATGTAAGTTAGAAAGCTAAATCACACAAGTATGTATCATCCAGATCACATTTTTTGTTTGCTAATAAATTCCATTGAGAGGGTGGCAAAATGCAAAGTCTTACCTTCTTCTATTTAAATTAGTGGTATCTGCACTTTATTCCTTTGTCTGATGAGGCTTCCAAACCAGTTGTGACACATTACTAATGGTTTTACATTTACCTAAAAGGTATACTTAATTAGGTAGACCCTGGTTATTTTAGCATTATTATCTTTAATAGGCAGAATATACTATATTAAATAATATCTATGTGTTTATATAAAAAACTGATAGTAGTACCATGGCATTAATGGTAATAATCCACAATAGGTAGTCATCTATATATTTATTTATTTTTCACTACCCTAGGTGACTGAAAATGTATTTTAATACACTTTAGGTTAGTATTGTCCCAAAGTCCTGACTTGGACAACAATATTTTAGTGTGTCTTGTGGATAACATCGCCCACTATATAATATATAGTGTGATGCAGCATCAGAAACACACAAATGCTAAGAGTGAAGATTTGCCTAGGAGCTAGAATTCTCAGTATATATTATATTATATATTATATATTATATATAGTAGTATATTCTCAATACTTGCACAGTTAACATTAAAAAAGAGTCTTACTAGGTATTTATAACTTGCTAATTATCTATGTTTACTAGTGGGTTTTATGACAGTTAAATCACAGCGTAACATCTGATATTTGGGCAAGTTATTTATATACCACTTTTCCATGCCATGTTTATCAAAAACAGATAAAAAAAATTAGAGTGAAAACTATAAATGTCAGTGGAAATGGCCATCGATGACAAATCTTTTTTCCTCCCAGGAGATGCTGTCACTCATGTTTGACAATTGAAACAACTTAAGAGGTGTTATTACACAGATTTTTCTTGCTTGAGCCATTCCCAAATGTTCATATTCTAAGGAATAGCTGAGTTTGATGCTGTGTAATGCTATGATTTATTAAACAACATGGCGACCAGCCAGTACAAGACCTGCTGACTCTTCAGTGTACTACACAACAGCACAAACATAAAATATGATTCATAGTACATTGTCAGACACTACCCTTATATGGCATGGAAAGGTCCTACAGTTACAGTGCCCTTGAGCACTCAGTCTACAGATCTAGAATTACTTTGCCTAGGATCTTTTATCTTTTACTAGTTTTATTTTAGGCTTAGGTGTAAGATAGAGAGCAGATGGCATGACACTGCTACCATAAGCTATTTAGGGTGTATTGTTTTATCTTGCACATGGGTGCAGTCTCATTCCAATTTATAGATGCAGTCTGTTGCATATTTTCCTGTAGATATCTTTTCTTCCCAAAATCAACATTCAACAACAGATGTATGACTGAATCAAACATCTACATCTCCTCCCAATGTTCACGACTGGAAATAAATAGGATCTAGTACTATAGTGGAGAATACTTGTTTATTTCTTTTGATCAGGTATTTATTTCTTTTGATCCCTGTATTTATTATAACTGTCTCTGTTAAGAATATATTGATTTTGAAAATTCACTTGGAAATATCGATAATACAATCTCGGTCTGTTTAATATATTTAAACAGGAAATATGTTGAATGTTAGGAAAAAAAAAACTTTCAGTGAATAAAAACCTTTAGGGAAATAATTTTAATATTCGCTGTATTCAACAAACATAGCCTTGAAACATTTCAAGGTAGATATATTATATCCTGCTGAGACCATATTAAAAGTCTAACAGTGAAGAAGTGTCCAAGACATTATTTTCTCTCATTATTGAAATAAAGCAATCATGTAAAAGATGAAACGAGACAAAACATAACTGAATACTCCTCTGGCTTACAACTTTCCTATTTTTTTCTTTTTGTCTCTTCTTTGGTCTGGTTTTTTTACTCCAACATTCACAAAGCGCTTGTTATTTTTTGTTCTTTTATTCAGTGTTTCACCCATTCAAAAAATAATATATAATGTATTGCGAATTCAGAAATCCCTGTTGACTACTAGACAAGAGAGCTAGGAAACAAGATCACAACAAAAAAAGGAAACAGATAAAGCATGTTTATAAGATTGTTGATCTCTCTCAGTAAGGGCTGCTGTGTTGTGCACTGTAAATCTTAAAGTCATTA